ATCGGGTTTATTTATCACTGTTCAAAACTAGGGGCAGCACGGTGGCACAGTGGTTAGCGCCGCTGCCTCACAGCGAGAAGGTTCCAGGTTCAGGCCCCACCCGGGACCTTTCTATGTGGAGTTTGCATGTTCTCCCCGTGCTTGCGTGGGTTCTCTCCGGGTACTCCGGCTTCCTCCCACAGTCCAAAGACATGCAGCTTAGGTTGATTGGTGTCTCTAAATTGCCCATAGGAGTGCGTGTGTGTGGTTGTTTGTCTATGTGTTAGCCCTGCGATAGATTGGCGACCTGTCCAGGGTGTACCCCGCCTTCGCCCGATTGCCGGCCGGGATTGGCTCCGGTCCCCCCGTGACCCCGCTCAGGGAACAAACGGTAGAAAATGAATGAATGAATGAATGTTCAAAACTATGTGAACTTGTCACTAACTGAAAAAGACACAGGTTATATGGTTAGTGCCTCTAGTTAACTTCTAGAGCACAAAAACAAAGAGGAAGAGAGCGTCGAAGAAAGTGAGGATGGCTCCTATAAACATGACTCACTCATTCACTCTGCAGCTTTTCAAAGCACATCAGTCATCAGACAAGTCACACCCATGTTTGCTGGCAGACAGAATGATGGTTTTTCTTTTATAAACATAAAAGCTTTTCTCTTCCCTGTCAAACCACAGACAAGGCTGTTGTCAGTGTTTGATTTTAGTGATGGGTAGTTTTATCACACAGAAGGGGTTTACTGAGTGGAGATATTGTGTGACTATAAAATCTGCAGATGTCAACAAGCACGTTTTAAAATGCCAGTGCAAACATTATAAACCCCAATTTTGAATGAATTAAATGTAGTTTATTGATTTATTTTTGCAAACTGTGTGTGTGTGTGTGCGTGCGCATCTCCTTAGTATGTCAGACAGTGACACTGTCAGTCTGTTTAGCTCAGCTGCCTTGCGGTGCTTAAACTGCCTCTCAAGGGAGAAGTCCTACTTTCTCCCTGCGCTCCTCTGGGTTGGCCTAGTCTGACTTCTTCACTCTGGCTGTCAGTGTAATACTCTGATCAAAGCTGTGATCTGTGGCTCAGGAGGTAGAGTGGGGTGTCTTCTAACTGGATGATTAGCGGTTTGATTCCTGGCTTATCCAGTCCACATGTCGAAGTGTCCTTGAGCAATGCATTGAACCCCTAGCTGCTCCTGGTGATGTTACCGGTGTGTGAATTTAGGAGTTTGTGAATGGGTAAATGGCCAAATAGTGTTTGAGTGTGCTGCATTGCATAGGAAAGCACTATACAAGTATTTACAAAAGTGCAAAAGAGTCAAAGTTGGGTCATGTGGGAAGTCTCTGAGGCTCCTTGAGGAAATTGAGGCACGTTCATTATTATACTCGGCAAAGTATGACCTGAGTTTTAACACAATGAGGAATTCAATGACAAATCATTATGATTCTCTGGTAATATAAGAGGTTTTTTATTGTTTTAAGGGGAATGTGCTTAAGGCAATGGAGAGGTGGTGTCAAACATGGAGGGAAACATAGTTTATTGCTTCAGAGAGAGCACTTTTGGATTGATAAGTTATATATAATATTCATTTGTTTTATGAATCTCATTCTTCGTGGAAAGGAGATTACTGCAGTATAATGGTCATAGTAGCATTTTAAAGGTCCTGAAACTGGTATAAAAGATTGTTGATAATCTTTAAAATATAACCCAGAAGAGGGACATAAAGGTAATCTGAAGCAGAAACCCCATTTAATTAACAAGGGATAAGCTGTAATCACTTTTTAGCAAGGAAAAAGTTGCATTTTATTAGGTTGTACTACAACCCCAAATCAGAAAATGTTGGAACGGTATGTAAAATCAAAATTGAAACTGACAATAGTGATTTGTGAATCATTTGTACATCCAGTGACTAAAGACTACTGAATTGCACTCTGTCTTTTTTGACTATAATTATGATTATTCCCTAACAGCCTCCTCCAAAAGTTTTAATACCTTCGTACTAACACGGCGATGCACGACAAAAGCAGAGTATGTAGATATAAACTAGGCGAACAGGCTGCACGCGCCCCCGTGGACCGCAGTCAGTCACTTTTTGGCACAACACCCACAACTCCTGGATTATCTACAATGGATGAGCACATCACAATTCCGGTCCCACAGCTTTACAGGGATTCAGAACAATCTCTAAATGCTGCACTGGCAAGATCTTCCAGTAACGCCAAAACAATATTGAGCGACCATTAGCTACAGCTAGAATGTTGTAATATAATCACACACCTGTAAAGGCTTATCAGTGTTGTCATCGTTAAATGAAAACTGACAGAATAATATTCGACAGTCTTAAATGAAAACCTGGAAAAATGTCAAAAGCAAAACAAAAACAAGTCTTTAAAATTGACTGATCCAATCAATATAAATGTAATGTTTAAAAACAAACTTTATGAACTGAAGTTTGTCAAACAGCTGAAAATAATGCAAGGTGTTTAAAATTAGCTATCACCTTGTTTCGCCTTTCCTTCACCTCACCTGCTCAAACTGTGTGTACGCATGGTCTGAAGTAAGCATGAGGTGCGCACGTTGTGTGTTTATAAATACCGGTTTATATGTGGTGAAAGGTTATGGTGTGTACACAATCTTTATGCAACTGGCCCCAGGAATAGTACATAGTCTTACTTTCTCTTGTCAGTGACAAAGAGAAAAAGGATGTATTGCAATATCAGAAATACCTTCACATCCCTCTGCCAGTGACAACTTGTCTTACCTGTGTCCCGATGCAGCCGCCAGCAGCTGTCAGGGTTTTTTCTTCTTTCCCCTGTGACACATCGTTTGGTCTTTGTCTTGTCTTTTACTGTCACTGTCTGTCTCTCCATCTTGCTGCCTTTTGGCACCTCTCTGTTTTTCTGTCACATGTCTTCCTCTGTCCCTCTGTTTCATTCAAAAAAAAATCAGCAGGACATTTGGCATTTTAGCATTATGAAATGTACTATTAGAGAGCAAGTGGCAATTACTTCTCTCATTTTGTTAATATTAACTGGAAGAAGCTTGACAAGGAAATTTTATAAATCTTTAAATTTACATTTTAGTTCCTCAGAGCTGTAGAGAAACGGGAATCGAGTGGCTGAATTCTACTGAGTTTGTTAAAGGGTTTTTGGGCCTTATAAGCAAAAACTTGCAACTTCATCTGATTTGCTGCACCATTTGGGGACTTAAATGCCATGGCAATGAGCAGAGAGATTTATTACCTCCTCTGCCACCACGCCACACTGTCATTGACATTTGGCTCCCTGAGCATTTGGCCAGAGATCCTGGTATTAGTCTTGAATAAAAGATGAACCCAGCCCAGTTTCTTTCCCAGCCATGGCCACTGAGGATATTACACTGGCTGAGAGCATGTTTGTCTCTTTGAGGGCCTAAGTAGTGAGGGAAGTAATTTGATTATTTTTATTTATTTATATTGATATTATTCTTGAAGTATTTTGCCATTTTGTCTGGTAAGAACGGATGTTACTGTAGGTTTTTTTTCTGTAACAGTCACTACTTATGAGCTATATACGGTCTTAAGAAAAAGTAATGGCAGTTTTCTGTATAAACTGGTCGTGAAATTGAAAGTCATAAATATCAAGAAACAATATTTCTAAGCTGATAAAACTCAGTCATGGTATTTCATGCCTTTATTGAACACACCCATTAAACATACAAAGTGATGGTGGAAAAGGTAATGGCAACACCAAGCTTCTGAGGTCACTAAATGTCAACTGGAGTCGGGTGTTGGCAAACCAGTCAATCAGTCAATGAAACGTGAATGGACATGTGGTTTAGAACGACCTTGGCTTATAAAACAATCAAACCATGTCAATATGCTATTCAGAAGCACCATCAGCTACTGTGAGCCATGCCTTGCAAAAAAAAGAAATCGCAGAAGGCCTACAATCAAGAGTTGTTGATTTGTATGTAGGTGGAAAGGGTTACAGAGTCCTCTCAAAGACTGCAGATATTCATCAGTCCACAGTTAGACATATTGTCTATACATTGAGATGATTTGGTACTATGGCTACTCTCCGTAGAAGTGGGTGCCCAGCCAAGATCATTCCAAAGACACAATGCAGAATAGTTAGTGAGGTAAAAAAGAAGCCTTTAGTAACAGCTGAAGACTTGGAGTCATTAGAGTTGGTTAACATCTGTTCATGAGTCAACCATACACAAAATATTGTACAGGTACATGTACAGGAAGCAATGTCTTATCTCCTGATATTTAACACGACCTTTTCCTGGAGGTAATACTGGAGAAAACCTTTACAAACATGGAGTCATCACCAAAGTTAATCCCAGTGAGCTGTCAGAGGAGAACCAGTTGTAGATTAGGACTACTAAAGAACGGGTGGATGCATCAGCAGCAGTCAGAAATCCAATATGGAGCATTTCACTGTGGGTACAATTAATCTTTGTGCTGAGATGAGGGGTGTTATTGTAGCAGCAGAGTTTGCAGGTGGGTGAACTGATTAAAGGCTCATTAACAGTGAATGGATGGTTCAGGTGCTTCTGGAGCACATACAGTCAGAAGTACAGTTTGTTTGTTCATTAAGAATTTTTTTTTTTCCCCCTGTGTACATGTTTTAGTTGAAACAGGATGGCACAGACAGTGCTGATTAATCTGATGAAGATGAGTGTTTCCTATAATAATTCTGACAGTATTTTTCTTTCTCACATACTCTTGCTTTTACCCTTTTTTCTTTGCCCTTGGTTCAGTTTTTTTCTAATCTGCACATTCTTCTTTCTTGAGCCACATTCATCTTTGAAAATACTGTAGTCACTCTAACTTACTCCCCAGCCTCCTCTTTATTCATGTTATTAGATTTAATGCTCAGTCTTGTCCTTATCAAAGTCTCCCAAAGTTCTGTCTACTACTGTACTATTTTTTTCTCTTATCTCAGAATGTGTTTGAGTTTTTTTTGTAAATTTTCACACTCAGGTATTTAACATGTTATCTCTTTGTCCTGTTTTTTGTTTGTTTTTTTACCAGGCATGGCTGACTGAGATCCATGAATACGCCCAACAAGATGTGGTGCTCATGCTACTTGGAAACAAGGCAAGACATGCTGGGAATTATTTATGACTGTAGGCAGAGACACAGTGGAAGCAATGCAAGTACACTAGGGCTGGGTACCAGGCTTGAAAACATTTTAGTTACTAATTAACTTTCATTAGCAAAAAGTTGGCACTGAATGCTCGGTCTGATTCTTGGGTTTCTCTTTACTTATTCATTGATTAGATATTTCTTGACTTTTCCTTACAGTACATAAGTATAACATTATTGGTTTTAGATGGATTTAATTTTGGCAAAGCTTTTGTATTGCAGCTTTGCATTAAGATTTAAATTTTTTTATGATCAATTTAAAGGATAGCTCTGACAATATTTTATATTTTTGATGAGCTGATCATTCACCTCCCTGGATGCTCATTGGCCAGCTGCTCCATATTAGACCCAGTCAGTTAAAACAGCCAGACCCTGTATAGGAACATTCCTGGACATGCAGTAGCCACATCCTCTGGTCACAGTGCAGCAACAGGAGGTAAAATATATCCATAAAACCACATGCATCGCCAAAAAAATTCCGCTTTTACAATGGCACCGCGCGACGTGTAAAAATAGAGAACTAGAAAAAAATACTAGAACATATGTACGGTTCATTTTTTGAGCTTTAGGTCATGTTTAAGATGACAATTCACCATTGTAACATTGCAGTTAAATCAGAAAAGAAGGAAAAGCATGGGCTCTTTAAAGCATTTGGCTTATAGAAAACATTTTCATATTCCTTCATGTGAGCAGTATAAAAATATTTGATATCTCTACCTAAACTCAGGCTTTTTCTTTTTTTTTCTTTTTTTTTTACTGGGAACAGTAATGATACCCAGCACTAAAACAGTATCCAGTAAAAAGTAACCAAAGCAACTTTAAGTACAGTGGAATACGGGTGTGAGCTGGCTTTGCAGTTTGTTTTCCTTGTCTGTGTACCTAGACAGTGGGTGAAGTTGTACCAGAACTTTCTACTGTCAGCTGGCTTTAAACAGTGATATTTCTACAAGTACATTTGGTCCTGTTCATTTCACACACATACACAACAAACGATAGCAGTCAGTCTAATGTGCAATTCACATTCACATCCCTCCATCTGAACAGAGAACAGATGTCTCCGACTTGGACCTCTGTCTAATTTCAGTCCCCCACACTCCATATCAATTAGCATTGTGAGAGACAATCTTGACTCATTAGCTGCCATCAGACCTGAACACAAAGAGAGGCTTGTATGTAAACTGTGGACAAACAGCGAACAGATCTCTTCCACCGCTGATGTTTACGGCAGATGTTATTACGTGCGTCTTTGTTCTCCCTGTCTCACCAGGCTGATGCCACACGTGACAGGGTGGTGAAGAGAGAAGATGGAGAGAGGCTCGCTAAGGTGAAGAATTTAGATGGGAGCACATGGATAAACTTTTCACACATCTTTTAATTGCAGTAAAAACAAGGCCCCTTGATGTGACCGGTGAAGGCGCTGATTTTTCATTTTCCAAATCCTTTTGTATAACTTATTGGATTTTTATGGTAGATAAAAAGCTTATGAATACCACATAAAGCTGGGAGGATTTAGCTCAGTTTTCATTTTCACTCTATCTTAAAATGTACCACCTGTAAACCAAAAAGAGAAGACAAAGGCCAGGGAACCTCAGATGTACTGCTCCCTCAGACCATGACATTTTATAATAAATATTTATTGTATAAATTCCAGTCTTATAGGTCATCATCTATAAATATTATCTTCAGGCTAATTATTTCACAGCCTTTGGTTCTGTGATAAACCTCAGCACAGCTACAAACACTAACCGCTGAAACTAGGAGCAAACCCTCTTATCCACCTCCCTGATGTTGCTTCACAGCATGGCTCACAAAACAAACAGCCAAGTGATTCTCTCCAGAAGTTGTAACAATAAAGTGTCAGTAATTTAAATCTCAACCTGAGAGAAATAAAAGCACATCATTTTGTATCACCACAGGCTGAAATAAATTCCCCTGCAAAGTAAAAGCTAGGAGACAGATTTATTATTTCTGAGCTGGATTACCCAAAGCAAACAGGTTCAGTGTGTTGTGAAATTCTTCTGTAAACATTTACAGTATATCACTTTCATTCAACAACCAAATTAGATTTTATTTTTGATGTAGCCTGTCAAAGTGTTGCATTTTCATATGTTTGTGTGCCTAAAATAATCTCTCATAATTGTCATTGCTTTGACCCTGCAGGAGTTTGGAGTTCCCTTCATGGAGACCAGCGCCAGGTCAGGTCTCAACATTGAGCTGGCTTTCACTGCTGCGGCTAAGTGAGTGTCACCCTATCTACCAGTGTTGTGGCTTGGCTGGCTAGCTTTTCACAGCAATTTTAGTTACATTTCACATTAAAATTTGAGGCTGAATGGACTTGAAAAAGGCAACAGAAGCAGTAGGGAACTCAATCCAAAGATTCCATCTAGACACCAGTTAAGAGCATGGACTGTAAAATTGACAGACAGGCCACTGGGACAGAGTCGCCCTGGTGGCTGGTTGCAGTATAGGTCACAAATCCCATCTCCTCCATATTAGTGAATAAGACATGAGCCAAACTAAAAGGTCAAAGTATAAACCAGACTAAATTTCCCCAGAGGTCACTTCTGTGGTTTCTGTTAGATATTAGCACATGGATGTGTGCAAGTGGTCATTTTTTTGGTAGGTTTATTTTAATAAGTTGTTTGATATAAGAAGGTGTATTTTGGTTGATTTGACAGCTTTGATTTGTGGCCTGATGCCGTCACTCCACTTCTGGTCACTACTGCGCAGAATCTGGTTTCAAAAATCAAGAATGGCTGCCGCTGTATTCGTAATATTTTGGCTTAATTTTTGCATAGTGGAGGGAAGTGGTGACACTATGTCCATCATATATACTGTATGTCGATGGTTAAGACAACACACTGCCGGGAATAATTAGAAGATTCAGAAACCTTGAATATGCCAATATTTGAATTTCAAAAATAAGGTTGCATATCGGATCACAATTGGCCTCCAGTCTAGTTGTGATGTCAAAAAAAAATAAAACAAAGAAATTTTACAGAGAAATTTCTCCCTTCAATTTCAGATGAAAACAATCTCATGGACACTGACAAAGTAATGGTAATAAGTGGAGGGACACTTCTTCTGACCTGCCAGTAATGAGTTATTTCTCACTGTTTTTGTTCTTTTTCTCAGGAAACAATACATAAAATGTTGTGCTTATATTACAGCTTGGTAAATTAGTTTTTAGAGCAACTTCAGGCAAAAAAGTGATTTGTTGTATTTATGGTGGGCAACTGTTTTGTTTAATCGCATCTTCCTCATTTGTCACAGGGAACTAAAGCACAGGTCCATGAAAGATCCTGGTGAGAAGTTTAAACTGCAGGAGTATGTAAGCAACGAGATGAAGGGCAGTGGGTGCTGCAGGTCTTAAAGCTGGGACCAGTCACTTTCTGGATCTGTGTGAATGTATGAATTTCCTTTGTGTGTGCATCACTCATCTTCATACAATGTGCGTTCATGTCTGACCTGATCAGAGGTGAGGAGTCGGCTCCAGCGAGGTATAAACGTCTTTACTCGTCTGTTTCTCCACTCTAACGCTCCAGTGTCCCAGTACACACAACCTAAATCTGTTGTCCAGGACTCATCTTCCTACCCTCCCCTCCTGCTTTTCCTCACCCACCTCCTTCTGCAGCTGTGAATGTAGCCCTAGGTTATGGTTTTCAAACAACAAAAGTAGGCACTGCACATCTGTTATTAACCTATTAATGGACATTTTCGTCCATAACATTGTTTGCATGTGGAGATTTTAAGTCAGACCAGAATTTATGGAAAGACATTTCTTTCTTATATCCACTTGAAAATTGTAATTTTATTTAAATTCTTGGTCAACATGTGGATAAATGTTATATACTAGATAATCAGTGATGTCTTCTTTTTGTGGTTCAGTGCATGTCAGTAATTCAGGCTCCCTGGAGCCAGTTGAGTTCACCAGCATAAACTTAAAGCATTTCCATGATTCAGCTACGGATATTTGGGAATACCTATTACTAGTAAAAGTAAATGAGTGTTGCTTTTTGTATAGTGCCATTGAGAACAGTATCATTAGCCTCATTGAATCAGTTTTAGTAGATTTGATTTCATGCTAAATACAATAATAGAGTATACTGTAGTTTAAACAAATCTACCTGGAACATGACAGTGCACAGGTCACAAAACCTGAAAACATTTTTCAGACACATGAAGTACTGGGATTTTTCCAGTTGTAGAGGATTAATGTTGAGTCTTGGAGCTCTAATGTAACCTCTCATCTTGAGAATCTTATTTTGAAAGTATAGAAAAACAGATGGTCAAACATTCTGTATGTAATCAAGTTTTTTGACAAATATGGTGTAAATACTTTTTTCTGCACATAAAAATTCAACATGAGATGGACAGCACCTTAGATGGACATGAGTGTGGGCAGGGTTTGGGGAATAAAGACCTACAATATGTTGCTAATGTTAAGTATTGTAGATGAAACTTTGTTTTCTGTCATTTCTTAGGTTTTATTTGTAGCCAGTGCAAACATTAGTAGACTACTTTTATTTTCAATTCATGGATGTACAGTGGCTTCAGAAAGTATTCAAACCCCTTAAATTTTTTTTGCAGACTTAATTTCAATCAGGTTATAGACATAAAGAGTGCCATAGTAAAGGATCTGAATACCCAGTAAGTTTTGATTTTTAATACATTTGCAAAATATTTAACATGTTCTCACCTTATGTTTCTCAGTGTAGACTGATAAGCAAAAGTTGATTTTCTCCATTTAAAATTAAATCTGAAAACATTTTTCAGACCCATGAACTACTGGGATTTTTCCAGTTGTAGAGGATTAATGTAGAGTCTTGGAGCTCTAATGCAACCTTTCGTCTTTCTACTTTTTGAAGCTTCTGTATAAATGGGTCATGTAGTGCCACAATCCGCTGAACATTTTTGACCAGTATGTTTCTTATAACATTAACAGTATTTAACATTTCTCGCTCCTTTTATAAGACTGTTGTTTTGGTATATTTCATCTTAGCCATAGAAACTATACAGACAGTATTTACTGTACTTTTGTTTTTCCAATCTTGATGTTGGTGATTTATTTTTTTTCATTTAACTACTTTTCAGTGTGCCACTTTGTAACTGAAAGTTAGCTACAATAAAAACAGAAGGTAATGTGACTTTTACCCTTAAGTGATTATATTTCAGACTTACCCAGATCCTTCTCTCACACAGAGACAGGATGTCTTGCTCAGTTACACTTAAGCCACCCGAAATGTGTGTTCACATGGTCTGCATGGTTTGAGCGAAGGGATCCCTCCCTAGCATACGGTTCAGAAACATTTTTGTGCCATTCTTTTCAGCACTTATGCTAATGAGTCCATAAGTTTAAAACTCTTGTCTCCCTCTAGTGGATAAATAATCATATGACATAACAGCCAATGTTTAACTGATCTATATTTAATGCAGTTTTACAAAAACACAAGAGACTAAGGAACGTTACATAAAGCTGTTTACAAATTCAAGCAGCTGAATGTATTAAAAACATACACAAATAGCTTACTGTCCCTGCAGTGCTTGGCACTGTAACAACAAAAGCTACAGCACAGTAAATTAGTTAATAAATACATTCACAATGAAACATCACTACTCGTATAGATGGAAAAAAATACATAGTTAAATATCATTGTGCTCTATGTGACTATAAATGTAAGGATGCACGCGAGTACCTGCAGACCATATTTGTATTAACTCCTCCTCATTGACATGTCAAATGTTTGTCTGTATCTAACTGGCCAGAAGGACACAGTTCGTAGACTTAGTTGAAATGTAAGGTAAATTCAGTTAAACATTTCAGTGAAAGTATTTATGCTTATATTAATGAGAACAGTGAAATCTCTTCACATCTGAGCAGCAATAGTTCCGATTCCTACGCAAAAGTCATGTATAATGGGTTAGAGTCCTGCATCAGGTCAGGTACCTGCAAAAAAAGTCTAAAGGGTTTTTAAAAAAAAAAAGTTTATATTAATTCACGGGCGCTGGTAAAAACAGACTAAATGTGGGTGGGTAGCAAGTGAAATAATTTAAAATTAAAAGGCACAGCTTCTTTTAAACATCTAATCCAGCATAAATTTACCGATCCTAAATAACCAATAAATTTATTGTGAAGTCCTATGACACAACCGTTGACCCCTCAACACACATCCAGCTCATAGGACCCCACTCAGACATCAGCATAGGCTAGGCGTCAGTGTGTCAAAGTGGATAACCTAGTGTTGAATATAAAATTGTGGACAATGCATCATCGATGGCCAAGTCAGACATATGGGAGGAATTTGGTGTGGTTACAGACACTGAGAACAACATTATCAGTGGCTCTGCAGCTTGTAGACAGTGTAAAAAAACTGTTAGCATTTGATAGCCGCAAGTTAGACACTTCCTCACTAAGGGGAACAGCTGCAGAGCCCAGGTGCTACGTCCAACGACAGATACTTTTCCAAGAATACAACTCTCAAGCACTTTAAAGTAGCTGACTGTGTAACTTAAAGTCTATTTTAATTGGGTCAGGTCTGGATTTCATTTAGAAATAACTTCAGCTAATGGGTCAGATCTGAAACGGAGCTATGCAGGTGCGGGTTTTCAAAACTGAACCCATGCAGGACTCTAATAGGTTTCAAATTAAAGGAAAAAACCTAAATAAATAGTCTCTTCCAGGATGAGGATGCCCCTATCTATGGGGCACGAGGGGTAATTGAATGGTTTGTCAAGTATGAGCATAATGTTAATCATATGCTGTGGTCTTGGTAGTCACCAGATCTTAGAGGTGGAATGGTTTGATTTGGTTTTGGGGGTCACAGTTTTTGGTTCGGTACATTTCTTGATAAAGCAGAGGGAGGGTACTGCCAATTTCAACAGGCTGTTTATTGGCAAAAAGTTAAATTTATGCCTCAAAACATATGGAATATAAACACTGCATCACTGTCAAATTATTTTTGTCTGGTATATTTTTGCTGTCTACCAGCCCGGTAAAGGTTTCTCCAGGTGCTGTCCTGCTGACTGACAGCTCTTCTGATGACATGGCTTTCAGTCTCACTTTCAGTGTGAATTCTCAGAAAGTCCGTAGTAGACCAAAACAATTCTGGTAGATCCTCTGTCTTGTCCACTTGCCATTTTCAAGAACACTTAATCCGTGGGTTACTGGCGCAAGGCGTTTTTCTTCCTCACTAACTTTAGATCTTTCTTTGTGTATGCCTTAACCTACTGTATTTCAAATGAACCAAACAATACATAACATGCCCCAAACCATGACTAGCAAACCAAATGGGTCAGATTTTTTTTTTTACTTGAACCATTCCACCCCTACCAGATCACTACAGAAGCACATTGCTATCAACAAAGAGGGGGGGGATGGAGGATCATATTTTCATAATTACAAGAAAAGATCTTTTCTAGTAATTATGAGAATCCAGGGGTTGGAACACTGCAGAACTTACAGGAAAATCATCAGGTTTTAACTAATTATTTGGTGTCATCGTAATTCCGTGATAGTTGTCAATACATTTAATAGTGCATAGCAAAAAGGAACTGATATTTAATTCGGTGTACTTAGTATTTCAAAATGTAAACAAGTAAGATAAAAACAACACCCAAGCTGCAGCCCACAGTAACTCGGATCTATGGCAACATTATACTTTCTTATAAAAGTATAATCTGTTCATATGATTGAAATTTCAATGTTAATCTAACACTTTCCAAAATAAGAAAGTCACTTTTGGCTTTCCCGTTTAGGGGTCACCACAGTGAATCGTCACACTGATGACTTGCATGTTGATATTTGGCACGTGTTTTACGCCGGATGCCCTTCCTGACGCTACCCTGACTTGAACCCAGGCCGCAGCGGCAAGAGCGCTGCACCTTAACCACTAGCCTACCAGGGACGGCACGTTCCAAAATACTGTGCCAATAATCTGAAACACTGATTTTAAACTCATATTCATTATATACAATAGATAGCCTAACAGCCTATAGGATCTAGGATGTAGACAATTAAATCAAGTAGCCTCTGTCTTCTTAAGTAGCAACCCTAACCTACTCTATTATATACAGGATCCTGATCTCGTAACTATGACAAAGCATTAAACAGTATGTTAATAGTCATCAAATGCAAACTGATGTAAACTTTGACACAGGACACATGTAGGCTATAGGCTACATAATGTCGCCATGTGTTACAATGTTGGTGTCATTTTTAGGCTAGGCTATATTTGTTTACGTTTTGAAACACCAAGTACACCAAATTAGCTATTAATAGTATTTCACTGATACTAAATAATGTTAAAACCTGATGATATTCAGGAAAGTAATGAATATGCATTATCTCATAATTATGAGATCAGGATCTTGTAATAAGATAGTAAGTCATAATTATGAAATAAGATCCTCCAGTTTTTTTTTCTCTTTGGTGAATGCAATGCACTTCCGTAGATCTCAACCCAACTGAACACCTATGGGAGAATTTAGACCAACATGTCAGACGGCGCTTTCCAGCACCATCATCAAAAAAAACAAATAAGGAAATATCTTATGGAAGAATGATGTTCATCACTCCAGATAAGTTCAGAGACTTATAGAATCATTGCCAAGGCGCAATGAGGCTGTTCTGGTGGCATATCATGACCCAACGCTTTACTGAGACCTTCTATGTAGGTTTTCCTTTCATTTGTCATCCATCTATACACAACTTTTGCACATTCACACCAGACTGATTGATCTCTTTCAAGTATGTAAGTGACATCACATAACAGATGAGTGAGTTAGGCTAACTTTCGTGAGCTTAGGAGTGATTCCGACTCCCCACGAAATGATTCTGGCACACAGTGTAAGTGATGTTGAGCGGGCTGGCAAGTAGCTTACAAGTAGTAAATGTGTGAATAATGCAGTGGAAGCTGTCTCACCTTTTGGTCCTTTTCTCTGTCACCCTTCACTTTTTACCAGGGCTTCTATTATGAGATGTCCAATAATGACCCTTTTCTCCTTCCATGCTCCTCAGGCTGCATCAGTAGTTCTTCAGACACCAAGACAGTCATGGCTTGTGCTTAAAATAGGCTTCCACTGCAGAGAGAACAAAAATATTTATCAGACTCAGCGGTTAAGAAAAAGGAGGTAACTAATGGTTTGACTTTGTTGGGTAGTTAACTTACCTGCATACTCGTGAGGCAGCATTGGTCTGTTGATAACACTTTGAAATGCAGCAATCCAATCTTTCTGATCCTCTTCAGTCTCACATGCAAACAGGAACTTCCTGTCTGGGGTCACGATGGTGATTCCAAACTGCCAGTGGTAACCCTGAATGTTGGGAGGGAGGCTGGGAAGCACTGTGTAGTCGTTCTCCTTACACCCAATGAACACCTCGCCTCGTGCATAGGCCTCCTATCAGCAGAGAGAAAAACACAGTTAATCTTTCTGTTTTAAACTGTTGTTAGAGTTTCAATAAGGAATACAGATGTAAATAAAATGAATGTAACCATGTCACATTTCTAATATGGAATGTTGCTATTTTGGCATGTCGAGCACCACAAACTCCTTAGGATGAGCCGTAGCCTCTCTATAAAAGCAGAGCAGATGATACACTATAAAGAAAAGACAGAACGCCATCTGCTGGTCACAGTGTAACTACAGCAGTTTCCCCCATGAAGTGAAGCTTTAATACCAGTGGCTCTTTGAAGTACATGAGCCTCCTGTCATCCATCGTAAACCATCTCTTCTTGAAGCCCTCTGTGTGCTGTGGGACAGAACAGGAGAGGAACATGTGGCAGCAGCTCAGTTAGACTTAACATAAGTCAAATGTGTTGGCTTTCATGCTACAGCATAGGCTCTGCACATTTCTCTCCCTTTGTATATACCATGTTGTGGAAAAGTAGTGTACAGTAGCAATACAAGTGTTGCTGAAACTCAATCCAGAACACTGCATTACCTTTGGACCGGTTTTCTCCATGTAACCCTCCTTTTTGTAGTTCCTGGTTAGCTTTGGCAACAACTAGACAATAAAGAACAAAAATGTAGTCACTCATTAACATCAACAGTGTGTCCATGTGCAGGGCTGTAGCCAGGTTACATACGATCCCTTCCACAAACATTCTGAGTGCACACCAAAAGGAAAGGCTCAGCATTTTTTGTTAAATTGAATTCTTTAATTTTTTTTTGGCTTAAAAGTAACAAAATTTAAATGAGACTGAAAGACTGGAATCAAATTATTTTAACTGTAGAATGTAATCCACAGTCTGCTCAAAGTCAAATTCCCTGAAAACGTATAAAAAGCATGACATCAATTTGTTCGGTGGCAGCTACAGCCCTGTGCGTATCTATGTGTTTGTACATATGAGTGCATGTACTCACATCAGAGTTGGGCGCCCCAGGAAAAGCCACCTGCAGGTAGTGAAGTCGGGCTGCTCTGATGGCATTGAACCAGTCCACAATTTCCTTCAAGGCAAGACAGAGCTCCATTACTGACTCGCACACGCACGCACGCAAACACACACACACACACACACACACACACACACACACACACACACACACACACACACACCACACGCCCCAGCTGTTTCTAATTACCTCCAGTACTACACATGGCGCTTCTTATGAGACAAAATGGCTTCTTCTAAATGATATGTATTAGAAAAAACATTTAAAAAGGAACCAAATATTATTTAAGTAAATGCTGAACTCTAATCTTTACCTTAAACACAATTTTAATCTTAACTCTAAAACCAAGTCTCAAGTCTAAACATGTCCACACAACTAATGATCATGATAAATCACTTTTATCGGCCAAGTAAGTAAACAGAGGCAGCCATCTACAGCGCCACATTTTACACACACACACACACACACACACACACACACACACACACAAAGACAATTCAACATGTGGAAAGAGGAGTACAGGAATCAAACCACCAACCTTCTAGGTGGGGGCTGACCACTCCACCTCCTGAGCCACAGTCACCCCTAACTAGAGAGGGACATGCACAACTGCTCTTTTTTCCCCCCACCCAAAACAAAGAACAGAGGCACTACACCTCACCTTGCCATCCTCATGGTAAACAAAGATATTCCTAGTGCTGTTGTCCTTCAGATAGGTTATCTGCAGGCCATGGGCAGTGCCAATTTTAGTTGGCTGGAAAGTGGCATTCACAGTACTGATCTTCATTACTGCTTTGGGCTCTCTGGCCTGCAGAAAGGAAAGACAAGAGAATCAGCGGCTTGTTCTCAAAACGTTCTTTTGTTTATGAAGTAAAGATCACAATACACACATTATGGTCTATGCAGGCACCATTTAGCTCTTTTTTTCTCCTCACCTTAATAATTTTTACATTTAAATAGTAAAGCCTGTTTTTTTTTGTAGAAATCTGCTCCAAAACATGTCTTAATGTGAAGAGGTGCTGTTGAAGCCTCCTGTGACCCAGGCTCATTGAACAGCACTGGCAGCAGTGCAGAGATTTTAGCCTCTAAATGGTTTTGAGCAGAATTGACCTCTCTGACCAGTCAGAGTCCACTTATTTCTGCTTGATCAGTAAAATCATAGACAAGGAGAGGGAGTGCTGGGCGGAGCACAGGGGATTCATTTGGAGTTTCATGTTAGTGCTACCTTAAGTCACATGCTGTAGCTTTAACAATGTTTGGCAAAACATGCACATCCTTTACTTAAACAACCAGAGATGTAAAAAATATCAGGTCATTTGTAGATAAAGTACCATATTTAACAAGGCCAAGAGAAAAAGAGAAGGCACTTACATCATGCTTGTTGAAGTACTTTAGAACACCCTCACGCTCAGACAGAATAAATTTTCGACTGAGGTACTGTCTGTTGTCTCTACCTCGTTTCCACAAAAACCCCTCCCTGTAGCCTGCCAGGAGGGGAACCATGGGGTCCCATTCCATTGACAAAACAAGAAAACAGAAAGAAGAGACAGCCGATTTTACCAAAATACTACATACAATACCCCCACAAATGAGTGCAGTGATTTGGGGCTATTTGAAGTCAGCTGAACAATATAAATTCTCTTTTTAACATTGTTTCTGGCCTCCCCAGCACCATACATAAGAGGGTCAGAATATTAGGAACATCTCTGAATATAATGTGGTCCAGTACACCACCACCATGAACTATGGCCTCAATAATAAACATACAGTATAACTGATCTTATGCAATTTCACCAAAAAAAAAAAAAAAACATTATGAGCTTCAGATCTTAAACACAAGATCTTAAAGCAGAAGCGTAAAATTGAATTGCATATAATTCTAAAGGTGCAATTACTAATGTGGCCAGGGTAGGTAGCATGGCGTCAGGTTTGCAGAACTTCTTCCCTGAAAACAGCTGCCTGCTAAGAGTGAGGATGGAGTTTGCTGGGCAGAAAATGGAAATGCTCAGATGCTCTGTATAGCTGCGGGGAAATGCACATTACACAAAGCTTTTAGATTTTTATATAAAACAACTGATTAGTGCAGCTTTAATAGGGGTTATGCGCAACTTACTTCCGTATACTGCAAAACAGAATCATCCGTTTCCGGTTTGCGACTAGTATGAAATATGGCACTGTTCTCCTCAAGATGTCTCCAAGAACTACCAAAGATGAAGATCACGGATGTCCACCGAATATGCAGTTCGACGTCTAAAACATCGGGCAGCAAGCTGGATAAGGGGTTTAAGCTATATGCTTCTTCATACATCCACGACTACGAAGGTAGCATTATGTATTGGCTATCTTACAAACGGAGATGTAGCTAAGCTAGTTCGTAAGCTAACTAGCTAATATCTGTGCAGATTCTCAGTCATCCAGGTCATAGTAAACCGCAACCGAAATAACCCTGGAAATCAACTGGACTTGGATATCTAGATCGAAGACGTTTCACCTCTCATCCAAGAGGCTTCATCAGTTCTGACTGACTGGTGTTGAGTCGGAGATATTTATCCCCCTCGGTGTGGTTTCAGTCCTTAGAAGACCAACACTGCCCATTAGTGACTGAGTCGTTACAGCCCAGTATCAGTGAGGGTCGTTACCTGTCTTTGGATCCTCCCCTGTCAACCGACGCCTATTGTCCTGGTGGGCATGTTTGGGCAGAGATCTCAAAACCGGGTTGTAGATGGAAGACAAGTTGTGTCTTAGTCCACCACCCCTATTTAGTGAGGGGTGTTCTATTTTTACGAAAATAGCTTCCTTAAC